ATTGATGATGATGATGATGATGATGATGATGATGATGATGATGATGATGATGATGATGATGATGATGATGATGATGATGATGATGATGATGATGATGATATTGATGGTTAGGTGGTGGTAATGGTAAAAGTGGGATCGTCATGATGGTTTCTGTGTCAGCATTGATGGTAATGATACGTTTGTTTCTTGGAGAGAGACGGTTGAACCATCATGACTATGACGATGACTCATTGCATTAGATTCTAAAAGCTTGCATTAAATAAACGACATTTTGTCCAACTCTATTTTAAGAGGAAACATCTTTTTTTAATCTCCAAATTAGTGAGGTTCTACTGTATTCTATAATTATCGTCAAGTGTGCTTCAAAATACACGTTCTCGAAGTCAAAAATAAACAGAAAAAGAATTTTTAAAAACTCACTGTGTTTATACTTAATAGGTGTATATATTGTACAGCACACTGACATAAGCACAGCTTATAGTGGAACAGAACTAGTGTCTTGTTGAGATCTAGTATGCCCATACTGCTTTGAATATACATCGTGCACTCAACGAACCTTTGGAGATATTCACAGATTTGCAAAACCCTAAACATTTCTGTAACACCGGAGTTTGAGCAAGTTTGAACATAAGCACACTGGGCATATCCACACTTAGCAATGTAAGTAATGCAATAGTTAAGAATTGTGAAATGTCATACTGACTGATTTATGGCACTTTTCAAAGAAAAAATAAAGTAAAACAGTTTCCATCGGTGGCCAGGAGAGTCCTTTCTATGTTGTTAAGGAGGGGATGCACACAATATGATACATGAGCCCTTCCCATATTTAGACTTAGAGTTTCCACTGCGCCAGTATTTCGTATCACTAAAATACGATTCATTTTGTTCAGTTTAACTCAAACGTTCAAGGCGTATTATAAAAATCACTGGAAATATTATCCTGTTTACAGGCATGTGGTTATAGATAATTTATAACCTCTGAGCATGTTCAACAATAAATAGCAAAGACTGTGTACTCGAGAAAATCAACGCATTATTGCATGTAAACCAAAACCACTCAACACAGATATTTTTTCAACAATTAATATTAATATGTTTTTTAAATGACCAAATCTATAGTTGCTACCTAGTACTGTATCAAGGTGTGCCTCCTTATGCTACAATCAGAGGCCCAATCACTTCTTTCTTTCTCCTCAACTCGAGTATATTGGTATCATTGTCTTCAGAGGAGAAGTCGTGAGTATTCTCTAGTCTCCTTTTAGTCATTCTGATTACATCGTTATTCTTATTAAAATCATTATCAGTTTCGTTATCATTAATGTTACTGTAATTGCTGCTATTATGACTGCTACTGTTGTTGTTGTTGTTGTTGTTGTTGTTGTTGTTGTTGTTGATATTGTTGAAGGTGGTACTACTTTCGCTATTGTTGTTGTTGCTGTTGTTGTTGGTGTCACTGCTCATGCTCAGATTCACTGCGGTATCACCCTCATCTATGCTGACGTAATTACTGTCATCCTGTGATTGGGTGGTGGTGTCAGGAACAGAGCTGAATACATTATGGAGATCTATCCTAGTCCCTCTGATCGCCAAAGACGTAGCAACTTCCCCAAAATGTCTTTTATCTATAGTGTTATTCTGATTTACGTCGGATTCTCTTTGCTCATTTCTTTGCCTATCATGGCGGCCTTCGTTCGACACCTCTAATTCTATATCACGGGGCTCTTCCGGGTCGCTAATGCTGCAGTCCCGACTGTGCATGTCTGAAATTTCCCGGGAAGCGTCCATACACCGAGAGTTCTCTTCTCCTCTTGTGTCCGAAGATTTAAAAAGTACATCTTCCTCAAATGTATTGCTTGGAGACAAACGTCTCTCGTTCTCTATATCAATGTCTGGTTGTTCTGTTATGTTCACAATGCCATTGTCATCGCTGTTTTCGCTTTTGTTATTATTGTCATCGCTTGTCTTGCTAGCGTTGCTGATCACAGTGTTGTTTAGATTGTCCAAACCACCAGAGGTCAAATAAGGACTCTCCCGCTGCTTCAGTTGCTGAACCAGAAACCCCATAGGCTGGGTGAATGGGAAGAAAGGGAGAAAACCCAAGCCTAGTGTCCCCAGCGACTTACATGCCTGAACGAGCGGGTACTTGGAATTGGGTCGTCTCCCTCTGGGGACTTTGGGCGCCTCCAGAAGTCGCTCGATACTGAACGCACCCGCTTTGTTTCCCATCGCGTTTCCGTGCGCACTTGGGGGTGCGTTCATTAACGCTTGAGCTTCCGCCGCGGTTGTTTGTCTGTCGCGCTGTTCAGAAGACATGGCAGAGACGTTATGGTCGCTGAAGCTATCGCAGCTCGTGTCGTTCCCAGAATTGGAAGCTGTGGGCGACAGGAAGTGATCCCCATGAATTCTCACCCCTGGACCTATCCCAGCTTTTGTTCTCTCCTCTAACGTCATCCCATTGATAGATTTCCTCTTTTCCTCCAGCTTCCTCATTCGTTCCTCTTGTTTCTTCCTCTTCTTCTCCATTCTGTCCTGCTCTCTTCGGCGTATTTCTTCTTCGTCCATCGGGTCCCCGCTGCAGGTTTGGGGATGGGCGTTGTGTGCGGGCCGTCCTGGACCCTTCTTCGTGTTTTCTTTCTTACGCCATTTAGCCCTTCTGTTCTGGAACCACACCTACAGTACAAAGAAAAAAGAATGCAGATGAAGGATTATATGATACAATTATGTGGTCTTTGAAAATTAGACAAGAAAAAAAAAGTTTGAAAATTAGAATATAAATTCTCTAATACGCTCAAAAGCATCTTCTTCACATAAATTGAGAGTCTCGTCAACTTCTCCTTTTTCCTTCTTTTCCTCCTCTCCTCCTCCGGCTCCTCCTCCTCCTCCTCCCTCCTCCTCCCCCTCCTCCTCTTCCTCCTCCTCCTCTATCATCATCATTATCATCAATATCATCATCATCATCATCATCCGTATCATAGTGAGTATCACAGCGCTCATATGACCTTAGCAGTTGCGAGCGCCGTAAAACCCTATACTACTACTACTGAGTATCACTACCAGGAGCAGCAAAGACAAGAATGAGACAGAAAATATTATCCTTTCAACGATCATGCCAATTCTATAATAGATGCAACGTATAAACTCCAGTTCAACACAACTTAAGAATATTTCTCAATTTCGTATCACTATGTCTCTAGAAGAAACTTTCGTTACTCATTCTTAAAATAGACAAAAAATGCTCAAATTTAAATCCAGCCAAAGCCACACCATCATCAACAGCACCATTGTCGAATAAGACAACACCACAGTGCACACGAGTGTCGCTGCTGTTGTCCTGTGTCAAGAAATCAAAGGGGGCAAAGATAGAGCCGAGTTTTGTACAGTGTCAAGATATTGGAACAAGAGCTCTTTCGACACAAGGTTGATAAAAAGAAGATGAAGTTCCCCATTCAAAGTCCATCTCCGATAGGACAAACTTAGTGATTGGAGAGCCACACAAACTCCCCAAATATCACATGTTTCAGAATATCTCTTATGAGATTTGAATCAGAAACAGCTAAACCAGAATCAAGTATTATACCAACTGAACTAACTGCTCACCGCTCAAGCCGAGATCTCAAAACAAACAAGATACAAATAGAAGAGAAGATTTATTGGCATGTCTTCGAGGCGTAGACTCCCAAGACAAGAAAGATCAAGAAAATACCCATCAATAAAAGAAAAGAGAAACAAATGGGAATAAAAATAACTTTTTGGGCTGACGACAAATCGGCAAAACTGGATGACAGAAGATCATCATTTATTGTATCCTCCTCGTCAGCAAGATCCACTTCTTTGATCGGTAATTTCATTTAAACATTTATTCATTCCACTCCCATCAGTTGCTGTATTTGATCGCGGTTTCATTTCTTCATCCATATTATAATACTCGGTCTGATGTTCTACATTTACTTATTCGATTTCTGTATTCATCAATATTACTTTATAATTCACTGAATCGTTGCGCTGTTTCTTTATTCATCAAAGCAATCTTTTATTCATATCACAACCGCGGGATGGGAGCGTTCTGTAAAGTCATGACCGCAAATTTTTATGCAAATGATGTTTGAATAACCATAACATCTCAGAAATCTGCTGGCTGAACCTAAGGGAAATAATATGAAATTAAAATAATAAAATATTGTCCGCGAGACCTCAGTTGTATAAGATACTTTTGCTGACGGCCAATCTCAGCTTTTATGATCAAATGTGTGTGTCCTCTTGATAAGTGCACGGAGAGGGAATGGCAAAAGATCTCTCTGCATTTCACGTTTTCAAGACAAGAAAGAAATTCTGATTTAATAAAATTATGCAGGCAATAAACCCTGTGGTTTGTTTTGGTGTCTCTCATGACTAAATATCTGTGCTACTGCTTGTATTTTTTTCCTTTGTCTTCTTTTCTTTTAATTGCCAGCTTTGTTCACTTTGTCGCTGCTGATGGTGTTTTTGTTTCTGTTGCTATTGCTATTGTTCCTTATTTTCTTTTAATTTGGC